TCATGCGCGACATTCGTATGGAATATCTCGATATTCCCAGTCTACATGCCCCGTTTTGCTGCGGTTTGCCGAGTCACAGTGCTGCAAGAGGTACAATACAGTACAGAGCACCAACGCGCGTATGGCAGCTGTATTTTTGTCCTCTTTCTTCATAAAATCCTCTCGAGAAAACCGGTGGGCGATGCAGCGGTGTAAGCAAAAATCAACCCCCTCTTCCCCCGCAAACCTCACCGCGGCGCCGATGCCGCCGGCGCCTGCACCTCATACTCCACCGCCTGCCCGAGGAAGAACTGCGAAAACGTCCTCACGGTCGCGCGCGCCACAAACGCCATCGCGTTGGTCGTCATCGTCGCCTGTCGCACCGTGATGATGACGTTGGGCATGCCCGCGAGCACGTCGACGTTGGGGTCGCCCCTCCCGCCGCCGGGCTCGCGCACCATCTCATTCGCCTGCTCCTCTGCCACGTCCATCGCGAAGCCGCCCATCAGCCCGGACTGCAGCGCGCGCACGGCGTCGCCCAGGTTGACCAGCCGCCCCCTGGACGTGTTCACCACGCACACCCCGCGCTTGCACAGGCGCAGGCTGCGCGCCCCGATCAGGTCCAGCGTGCTGTGCACGAGCGGCGCGTGCAGCGAGATCACGTCGCTGCGCGCGAGGAGCGTCTCCAGCGGCACGTACGCCACGCCCGCGGCCGCCACGTCCCCGCGCCGCGCCACGTCGAACGCCAGCACCTGGCACCCGAACGCCACCATGATCCGCGCCACCGCCCGCCCCACCGCGTCCGTCCCCACGATCCCTACCGTCTTGCCGCGCAGCTCCCCGCCCACCAGCCCCGTCAGCGTCATGTTCCCGTCGCGTACCCGCCGCGCCGCCAGGTGCACCTTGCGGTGCAGAGACAGGATCAGCGTCACCGCGTACTCGGCCACCGACGTCGCCGCGTGCGACGGGATCGTCGCCAGCCGCAGCCCGCTCTTCAGCACGTTGAGCAGGTCGGCGAGCGGCACCCGTGCGTACCGCAGCGCCACCAGCTGCACCCCGAGCTGCTTGAGCTGCCGAAGCAGTTGCGGCGATGTGTCGTCCGCTGCATCCAGGCTCACCACTGCTGCGTTCGCCGCCAGCCCCGCCGTGGACGCCGTCAGCCGCGCCGATATGTACACCAGGTGCAGGTGCGGATGGTGCTGTGCTTCGGCCTGGAAAGCGGGGCGCTGGTGGGAGGAGGCGCTGAAGAGGACGACCCGGAACGGGGGAGGCATTGCTTTTGTTGGCGTGATTGGGGGTCTTGGTTGGGGAAGGGAAGGGGGAGGGAGGGTTAGGGGGGGGAAGGGAAGGGGAAGAGTTAGGGTGGGGGGGAGGGGGAGGGGGAGAGGGTGGGGAGGCAGGCGATTGGGTAAGCGGGTAAAGAAGGAAAGATATGCGGCGGGATGGATGGGGCGGACTCCGTTAGGGGGAGGAGTGTCGCAGCGGTCCACTCTCGCGGCCCACGGCGTGAATTGCGAGATTGGCGGCAGATTCCGGTGTCAGCCGGTGTAATGCCATCGGTGCTCCGATATCAGTGTCACCGGTGCCCAAAATTGCACCGATGCTTGCCACGTTTCAAAAGTAGCTGTTACGTGACCACTTCAAAATCTGACCGTTCCCCCCGTTCCAATTTCAAACTTCCCCCCAAAACCTTCCCCGTCCTCCTCCCACTCCGACCCTTTCTCTCTACATCCGTACTTCTCGAGCCTGCCCGCGCCCTCCATTGCCTTTCAGCCCTTCATCCCGCTGCGAGGCGATCACGTCCCTGTTGAGACTGTACCTCCGCCTGCGCGGCGATTTTACCAGCAACCAGGCTGTCCAACACCTCGCGTATCTTGGCGGTGTGCGAGTTGAGTTTCTCCTCGATCAAGTTGAGAGAAAACCTTTCGGCTTCACGGAGGCCTTCGCGGCGGTTCCGCGTGATCCACGCCGCGACGGGCGCTGGGAACTCTCTCGGACGATTGTCAT